TGACCCAACCACAATCTGCCACACACACAGTGAGTGTGAGAAGGTCGCCAGAGTTCAAGAGCCCTTTGCCTCACATATATCCTGTATGACAGCATTTCATCACCGAGGTCGACTCCACCAGGAAGTCAGGTCGTACCTTTTCCGAGGTTCTCACAGCTAAATGCTGCAGAAATGAGACAGAATATTTCCTGGCTCTGTTCTGACACTAAAACGCAAAACAGCTGCTTTAGGCCGTCAGCTCTCCATCATGTGGAAACTCCCAGGACATGTGCGAGCAGACCTTACTAACCTGTTTGTGGCCGTGACGCGACAACGGCGCTGTGAAAACAATCAGCCTCCTTTATAGTCATTGTTTCGCTCTTTATCTGCAGTGTTGAAAGACATATCTGGGAACAATAAAGTGTAAAACATGCAGAGAGTGATGCAACGTAGTGTGTCTGATTTACAGGCTGTGGGTCAAGTTTTAATTATCTATATCCTCATCTTATCTAGAGGATCTGCACATCGTTCCCAAGAGAAAAAAAAGTGTTCCACAGTAGTTTTTCTACACATGTTCGTTACCATGAAGTAGGAAAGGCCCTGAACACAACTGGTGCATGATGCTAATTCCAGAGAATAAGTTTGGACATATTGTCGAGACAACACTGCTGTGTGCACACTGGCAAACACAATTAAGAGCACAGACAACTAAGGGTGGTAACTGATGCACTGAAAGATTTGCTACAGGTTGCATAACACACCTTACACACACACACACACACACACACACACACACACACACAGGTTTGTGCAGCACTCATTATTCACTGTGCGTTCTTAAACTCAAACTTAACACACGTCTCCCAGACGTTTGTCATTACGAATTCCTCTCCGAGTCTTTATGAGTTCCACTTATTTGCGGGAATCTGGTGTTGCTAAACCCCCGATGTTACAAGAAGCCTGTTTATGATTTCTGTTCTCATGCGATACATTCTTTTCCAATTGTACTGGTTCAAATTGGATGTCGCTGACAAACACTGACAGACACTGTAGTTCTTTGTGTCACCTCTGCCAAGGTACCCAATGGGTTCATGGGTGGTGCATGTGTTCTGGTGTTCAAGCCGCTGACAAATACTTTTGCGTGAAGGCTCTACATTGTAGAACGAACCACAGACATCTAGTATCTGCTTCAAATTAAGTCATGAATCATTTGTTTTGGGACTTTCCAACAGCTGCTTCTTTTAATTCTGACTGGAAGCCCCCGTGTGAGATTTATTTACTGTAATGTTAAGACAGTAAAGCTCAAATCGCTCCGAACATTGTGTTTGGAAAAAAATCCAAGAAGTTCAGCTATTGATAAAAGTTCTGTGGAAGTAAAAAGTTGAAAAAGATACTTTGGTCTAATTATTACTTGACTTTATATTTACATTAGGCTATATAATGAGAGCAGGGCTGCTTAAACAACTTAACCTCCCTAATAATGTCTGGAGTAATCATATAATCTAAAAGTGTAAAAAGAAAATATTCACCAATAACGATAAGACCGAGCAGCTGGGTTTAAGGGGGCGCTGTGGAGCCATTTTGCCACACCCATTTTAAATTACTCCAAACTTTCACCAACTTTGAATTTTGCGATCAGCGAGCCCGAAGAATAACTAACTTCCAATTTTCTTGAGCTGAAACCTGAAGTTTGGGTATTTTTGCTTGGAAAGTGACATTTTGATTCTCTTATTGAAATAGTTATAGATATATATCTATAAATCAAACGTCGTATCTATATCATATTATTAAATGATATGGAAAATGAGTTCTGACACATAATATTTTGTGCAATCTGAGTTGTTGACATGCATCATCAAAGATCAGAGGTTTGGCTTTATATTACATTTCACTCTGTATAAAAAGTAACGATTTATTTGTGCCCTGACAGAAGAGGAAGATGTTCACCTGTGTGTGATGCAGATTATTTAGTAAAGTAGGTATTTGCGTGTTTATTGGGTCGGCATGTGCATGTTCGTGCAGACAATAGGCCTTTGTCTCCCTATATCCTATTTTTCCTCTCGCGGGCTGACACAGACAATCACACGCAAACACACACACTCATGCACAACTCATCAACACACAGTTCCTCCTGGCTTCCGTCAAGTTACAACAGTTTAGAGACAGCAAAACAGGAACAATCTGATCTTCCCTTCCTGCCTCGCACTTCCTGCCTCCCCCGTCCTGCTCTGATGGAGTGAGAGCGAAACACGGACTCATTCAAAAGGAGAAATAAATAGTTGAGTGAATGAAAAGAAAACGTGACGTGACGCAGAGACGATGAACAGTCAGAGAGTGGGTGTTGTACAGTGGGTGTGTGTATATTTGTGTGTGTGTGTGTGTGTGTGTGTGTGTGTGTGTGGTAATCTGCATTGAGGATGTGGTCTGACATCATGGGAGGAGTGGGACTGCAGGAGCTGTGGTTGAGTCAGGTATTGACGACAATGTGATTTGATATGAAAACTTTAAAGAGTAAAATCTTTTGTGCACAACCTCAACCTGAAAACACAGTTCTACTCTCTGGCCTTAAAACAGTTTGAGACATATATGGTTTTACTTTATTTTACAAGGTTTTTCATTTAATTATATTTATTCTATGTATCCCATTCTTTTTTTTACACATACATTGACTTGACTTTACTGCAATATCATTTAAACGTAAGTTACTACTTTCAGACACTGTTCAGATTAGAAATACATGTATTAGGGTTTTAAGTATAGACTAATAAAAAAATGGTACTGATGCATTTTAACAATAAATTGTTTGGACTTTTTTATATTTATCATTATCATCATCAACAAAGTGGCCAAACGTAATAATTCATGATTCTAACCTCCTAAACTCATGTTCCTTTGTGGACTGTTATCCAAACATACTACGTACATGTGGCCTATCTTCTTCACATGGCTACTGATGATTTGTTTTTATTATGGATTAACCTGCAGTTTCTCTTCTCAATTAATCTGTAGACGATCAGCAAACAGGGAAAAATACTGTCACAATATTTTTTTCAGATTGTTTATTTTGTCCAACCAACACCTCAAAAACACAAGATGTTCCATTTAATATCACATCTGATTGAAATAACTTGAATTTAAAAGACGTGCACATGGAGAAAATGGAGAGAAGTGTTTTCATGTATGAGGAGGCGACGAAAATAAAGGTCACAATGAACGTTATTGAGCTGGTTTACAAGATCTACACTCTATCATCCTCTCACACACACACACACACACACACACAAACACACGCACTAACAAACTCAGTGCACCTGACGAGTTGTGGTTCTGAAGAAGGAAGTGAAACCTCAGTCCATCTGCTTTGACAGGAAGTCAACAGAAGCCACACAAGGCGTGCTGACGTCAATCAGAGCCACAGGAACACCCCCCCACAGCTCGTGCATGCACATACACATACTTACTCATACACACATTCACACTCACATTACTAACAATGATGTATATATGCCACGATAAACACATCCATACACCTTCAATCCACAGCTGCACAATTGCCCAAAGCTAAATACGTCACACACTGAAATACTTGACTACATACAGACCACTGTTAGCTGGTGTTTGTGTTTAAATACATACATTTAGAGACACAGACGCAGTATTTTGGTTGAAAGTGACTGTGTTTTATAACTTCTGAGACAAAACAGAAAAGAAAACACTGTTGTCTCTTCTGAAGCTAAACTTTAACTTCTTTGGTATCAAATCTGCCCCGAGTTGGCTTCATGTGAAATCTGTTGATTTTTGGAGGGTTGGCTTTGCTGTTCTCAGTTTCATTGTTGCTCATCTCTTTACACATCACTGTTTTTCATGTGCTGTCCAGAGAACGTGGGAACATCTGCCCCCACATGTGACATTAAAGATCTGACACTTGCTGCTAAAAGATACAACAAAACTTGTAGTTTGTTTTTGCTTTAAATTCATATTTTACTCACACACGTAGGTTTTTCTGTCAAGTGGCCAACGTTTCTTTTCTGCTTGTTAAAGGTACAGTGTGTAGAATTTAGTGATATCTAGTGTTGAAGTTGCATGTTGCAGTTGAACGCCTCACCTCACCCTCTCCTTCCAAACATGAAAAAGAACCTGTGGTAACCTTTAATTGTCATAAAAACTCAAAAGGTGTTTAGTTTGTCCAGTCTGGACTAATGTAAAAAACATGGCGGCCTCCGTAGAGAGGGTCCCCTCGATGTAAATATATAGTATTTAAATATAAAGGGCCTTTGTAAAGAAAACTACAATTCATAGAATTTAGATGAAACGAACTAGTGAAAACCTCATGAGGATTATTCTACATTAAATTTCTGCGATTAGATCCCTTTCACCTAAATCGTACACACTGGACCTTTAATGCACAAAAATACAAGACACAAAGAGAACGTTTCATGAGTAATTGTGGGTTTTAGTCAAACTGATTTTAGTTTTCTAATTTAATCCAATTAAGGTGACCACAGGTTTAGATGCACTAAATATGAAGGAGGATGTTTTTAACAGCTAAACTTAAATCATGCAGGAGGTGACACCAGCAACGAGATTCTGTCTGTGACCTTTTTCATCAGCAACAAATTAACATGTGAATAATAAACTTTCAAATTTGCTTTCATGTTCTGTTATTTCTGAAATCTTTGATTTGATCAATGTCACCAGGGCTTTGTTGTGACTTCATGTGAGAAGAAAGTATCGTGTGTGTGTTTGTCTGAACCACCTGTTTAATTGTGTTTGAACAAGGTTAATGAGCTTGATGACAAAACAGTCTGGACTACAATGTTACAGCTGGAGACAGAGGACGGAAAAAAAATAGCGGAAGTCGCCAGGCGTCGTCAAGTTCATTGCGGACAATAAGGTGGAGAAAGGCAGCGAGGGAGGAGAGAATAACACCAACACGGAAAACCATGGAGGGTTGAGGGAGGACGCACATGAACCAAAAAGACAGGTGATTCAGGAAGTCACCACACGGAGCAGCGTCTTACCTGGGAGACAAACTCTGGTGATCGGAGGCTGAGTCACTGCTGCCGGAGATCTTCTGAGAAAAGATAGAAAATGTTACAAAATATAGGCGACACAGCAAAAACATTGGATTTAATTATGATCCTCTGAGAGCCGGTCCACTCAAAATACAAAAACATTATTGTAATGGGGTGTGGTGTAGTTAAGCACAGAAGATGTTTCATGTTACGCACACACACACACACACACCCTCTGATCATACATGACTTATTTTAATACAAGTCAGCCCTGATAAACTGGTGGTGCACATCTGTGAACACCATCGCTGAGATCAGCATCCTCGCTGCTTTAAGTTATAACGCTCCGACCGACTCCTCGTGTCTGGAATTTAGTTTTAATGTATGTTCCTTTAAACACAAGGTCAATACACGTGTATCTACAGCTGTGTGGGGGGGGGCAGTCTGAGTCGAGCTTGGTACGAGGCGACGCATGTGTTATTGTCACATAATGACGCAGTGATGATAAATACTTCAAATACAACACCAATGAGGGTTTCCATCTGTGTGTGTGTGTGTGTGTGTGTGTGTGTGTGTGTGTGTCATGTGCTGTGTTGAGCCGTGAACAAAGCTGCTATCTTACCTCAGTCCATTTAAAGCTCAACACTGCCACCCTGTGTTGACACAACGGGACTGCAGCCCGACCATGCCCATACTAACTAAGCTAACCTCGGTATCAGCCTTTGCTTTACTTTTCTCATGATTTTAAGATCCATGAAGAGAAAATATTTCTGGAAGCAGCCAAAGAGTTTGATGTTCTCTGACTTCTGTGTAAATGCAGACTGGACGCTGGAGACTTGACTCGTAAAGTTTCAGGCTCATATTCTCTTGTTTTATTGCCTTAACTGGCTCCTCTTCATCTGAAGAGTCTAATTTCCAATGTTTTCAATGTATGTAAACTTTTACATCGATGTGAATGTTTGATGTACTTACTTGCTGGAGGCACACTGGACATTGGTCAACACAGTGAAGTTATTCCTAACACTCCGAAGGCTTGCCAGAACCTAGAAAGACACAGGAACAGGTGATTATTAGTATTTATTTTAAAATCCTTCATCTTTTATGTTTAGTTTTATCTTTGCTTGATAGCAACAGAGAATCAATCTGTAATCAATACTTAATTTATTTAATCAATAATAATACATTTTATTTCTATGGAACTTTTAACAATACTCAAAGACACTTCACAGAGGTGGAAATAAAGATAAAATACACATAATAATCACACATAAAAACAGTTGTGATGAGGTGGGTTTGTAGTAATGTTTTATAAAATAATACATTTATAAATGTATATACATTTGTACTTTGGACACTGATGATTTTAGATTTGCTAAACCTACACTGTTCACTGATAATGTCATTGTGGATTGCAGACAGTCAGATGCTTACCTGAGCAAAAGGTGTAACGATCAGGTCGTCACCATGTCTGAGAAAAAAAACACCAAACATTTCATGAGTGTTAGTGCTTTCTATCACAGTGAAAACAGTGAAAACAGATAAGTAACCACAATGAGCAAAGAGGGAGTGAGTCTCATTACTATGATTAACTGAAAGAGACAACTTCAAAGAGGGAGAAGAGGAGAGGAGGAGGAGGAGAGGAGGAGGAGGAGAGGAGGAGAGGAGGATAGGAGGAGAGGAGGATAGGAGGAGGTCTAAGAGGAACCTATTTCTGTAGCCAAGGCCAAACGTACTCAGATAATCATCATCATGTTCTGCAACATCTGGAGTCGCACAGTGGTAACATTCTGGTATCTACCCCCAGAGCTTCCACTAGGGGGCAGTACCGTGACGCATGATCAGAGCCTCCAGAGCAAATTACTTTACGTGTGATGCACTTTAGTTTATCAAAGTTGTCTCTTACACATAAGAGGTTAATTAACGTTACATGTCAGGGGTGCTGCTTTAAGCTCATGATTATGTAATAAGTTGTTTAAAAAGTATCTGCGTCTATGCTTTATACTTATGTAATAAGTTATTCATATGTGTCTTATTTTAATAAGACACATATGATATATAAGACACATATGATATATAAGACACATATGATATATAAGACACATATGCTCATCAGTGCGTTTAATACACTTCTCAATCAATCTATTCATTCAGTGCGTAAACCTGGACATAAACCCAAACCACTGTTGAGCAGGAAACTGAAGTTAAACAGTTCATCATCAAAACATTGACATCTGTTAAACATCTGTACACGCCTTATAAATACAGTAAAATTATACTTCACTTTGACTGGAGTGTTGCAACGAACTTCTTTATTCTCCTGGAAACACTTATCACCTGCCTGACAACAGTTTGTATCTGTAAACATTCATTTCAGATGTGCTGCTGCCAGCCCATGTGAACCTGCTTTACTCTGCCCTGCGTCATACTCATGTTTGTGTGCTGCAGTTATTACCTCCACCATGGAGGCCATGTTTTCACCCCTGTCCTTTTGTTTGTCACAATTATGCAAAAACAACTAGATGAATGGATTTCCACCAAACTTTGTGGAAGGACGTGACATGGACCAAAAAAGAAGTCATTACATTTTTAGAGTTGTTCTGGACAAAGGGGGGTGAATCCAGATGTTTTATTTTACTTCCTTGACATCGTGAGATTTTTTAAAACCAACAACTTGAATAAAGAATGAACGGAGCTTGATAAACAAAGGGGGACTGATATCGATAGCGTGTGCAATCTTGTGTAGCTTCACTGGAGTTGCCTTTACTTACAGTTCAGAGGCGATGGAGGAGTTTCGTGACATGGACTTGGGAGACAGATCATAGTCGCTGTCAGAGCGGTAGAGGAAGGACTCTCGCCGCTGGTTGTGACCGGGAAAGTTGGTGTGGAGGACCAGACCAGAGCCGGGGGAGGCCTGGGGGTCCAGGGGGCTGCAGCCGGCAGACGGGCCATTCTCCACATCGAAACTGAAAACAGAGACACATCAACATCTTCAATCTTTTGTGTCTTTGTAGCTTCATTTTCAGACGTTAGACTGAATTTATAAGGAACTTTTCTAATCCACTGTCACACAGCACTTCTATACCCAGACCTTTGTCACATCATTCACACACGAGCTGAGCAGCCGTCAGGGGGAGTTTGGGGTTTAGTATCTTGCCCAAGGACACTTTGGCGTCCAGACTGCAGGAACCAGGGAAACACTCTTTAAACTTTCAAAATATAAAGCAACAGTTCTCTCTCTTGCTCTGATAACATTCTGTTTACGCTGTCAAACGCTGAGTGGTTTTGTTTTGGTTTTAATGAAGAAGCAAAAGAAAAAAGGGAAGAGAAATTCTTTCATGCGTATCATCAACATCCCCTAAAGAGGTACAGTAAATGGCACGCAAGCAAACACACACACACACACACACACAGACGTATATATACATGATTCGATTCTGCCTGACCATGAAAGAAAGGGCAAAGTGACATGTTAGAGTGCACAGTGTTTGTTTGTGAGGAGGAGGCAGTGGAGGAATGAGAGAAGAAAGAGGAGCAGTATCTCATGAAAGAGGAGGAGGAGAGCATCATCATTTTAACGGTCATTTGAATTTGTTTTTTTGGCTTTGGTAAAACTTGCCAGACATCATTTTGCAAAACATAAATATTTCTCTTTGTGCATTTTCCCTCACTTCTTAGTTCTGCCATCACTGCTCCCTCTGTATAGTAAATACACACCAGCAGGCCCAGCGCTGGTTACACTACAAACTTCAACAAAAACAGACACGCAATGTTCATCTAAAACTATTTTTAGGTGGAGTGTTTTGTGTATTTTTCTTGTATAAATCTCGTCTGTTAATCACAATAAAATCCAGAATGGAAAAAGCATCAGTTTGTGTAAGAATCTTTTTCAAATAAGGACAATGATTAAAAGTCTGAATTAAATTAAAGTTGCATATCTGTTCTTATATTATTATGATAAAAAGCACTGAAACAGTGGATGAAAAAGATGTAAATACTTTATTATTGCACATTAATGTTGTTATCAACTAATCAATAATGTAAATATTTGTGGGACATTTGGGACTGAGTAATTTATGTATTTATTTTATACAAATGATGGGCATCATGGGTTCAAACCAAAACAGTGACAGTAGTTAAAGGCTCAATCTGTGGACACAAATAAAAACACGGACATAAATATACCGTAAAAAATTGAATCCAAAGAAAACAGGTTGTTGTTACAGTACAGTTCTACTTGATGACCCGAGAGGCTGAGAAAATGTCAAGGAGCAACAACTGCAGAAACTTTGGATGTTCGCCTGAAACAGCCGGGAGTCCCTGCTCTGAACGCTTACAGACCAAAGCCAACTTCGTTCGCTTGAGAACTCTGCTCTGTTTATCTGAATTGACAACATAGACTATACCTCAAATTCCCAAAAGAAGATCTCACTTAACTAGTTTTGGAGCTCTGAAGAAAACGTGTCCCAGGCTTTATTTTGGTTTGGGTCGTGAGACGAGGAAAACATTGAGTCTCGAAGTACTAGCTGGGTATTGTAATTTGTTATTAGCAGTTCAGCACTAATGACTTTATGACTTTGGGATTGTTCGGATGGAAATGTCGAGAATTTTGAGTTATCTTGTTAATTCAGGAAAACAGAGCAGGATCTGTAAATGCAACAGACCAAGAAAACGTTGATCAGGTTATTATAGATAAAGTAGAATCAGTTTAATGTGTGAGGCTACAGTTTGTTACTGCAGAAATATGTCATGATTATGTTGAAATAAAATGTGGATTATATGGTGAATGGCTTCGTGAACGGATTATTAATGTTACACAGAAAAAATAAAATGTCAGAAAATATCATATGTTAAATATGAGCCGCAGACAAATTTCATTTATTCAGTTTTGTGTATTGTGACGTTGTACTAAAATAGCAAAGCAAAGCATTTTCCCTGCATAATTTCCCGTCCAGGTTTTGTTTGATACGAGCACGCACATGCATGCCTGCACTCACTGAATGCTTGACTCCCTCTGCCCTCAGGTCAATCCACTGCTTTGTGTGTAATGATCGTGTGTAGAGACGACTAATTCTGGAGCTAGTGCAAGCGAGTCCAGTCAACCACATCTCACAACTGTCCACTTCTTCTCTTCAACGAAAGATAGAAATCTTTGCATTAACTTTATCGTTGAAAATAGTGGCAAGAAAATGCAAATTTAAGTTTTCACATGGTTAGAAAATGCCCCAAAAACCCATTATTCATTTAATACAGTGGAGAAGCATAGTGGTTTTTTTTTTTACAGCTCTGAAAGAATTTAGATTAGTCTCTCCGACATGAAGTGGAAAGATATTGGTGAGACGTGGGAAGGAAACGGTTCAATATTCCTCGAACCCCAAATAATAAACAGGCGTTATGTTTTCATCAGCAGCTCAACGGCCATGTGTTCAGCTGCTGCTGAATCAACCTCATGAGCTGAGCTGAGTCACATCCTCAGTCTAACAGCCGGGGTACAGGTGTTCTGACGGAGCGTGACGCTGTCAGAGACAAAGAGAAAAAACTAATGGACAGCTGCGTCACAGCACCCCCCTCCCCAGACGCCTGATGGCTGTTGTGTTATGTAAGTAATGACACACGACGAGACGTCCGAGCATGAGTATGAGGAGAGTTTCATGCTACAGTACGTCGCGTCCATTGCACAATGGCATGATCCCTGATTCCTTCATAAAGTTTATTTGTGACCAGTTACTTAAACACAGAGTTAAGTTACGTCACCGCAGAAGGGTTTTATTAACAGAGGATTCACGTGCAGGTGTATTTGTTCTCTGATAGTTATGATAATGATATGTTCATGTGTCATGTTTGACTGAAGGAACCAGGAAGTTGTCACTGGGACCTCAAAACCATCATAGTCTGACATGAGATTCCTTCCCCATGATACAGATGCATGTGTGACTGATTCACTGACACAGTGAGTGTATTTGTTTCCTCCACTTATTATCAAAAGGAAAAAAGAAAAACACTGGTCTTTAACAGGACAAAGAAGGGATATCCAAGATTTGACCCTTTGAACAACAAGACAAAGACTCACACCCTCTGTATGAAACTTGGTGTCCTGGTGGTTAAGTGGATTCGTGCATTTGTCTGGGAGACTGTTCTGGCTCGTACCATTCTATCATGCGCCCGTTGGTTCCAGTATTTCTCTCCATATATAAACACATAGAAACTTCCACCCGCCGCTCCGTAAAGTCGAAGCTTCGGGCCGTCTCTTCAGAAACAAGATGAGAACTACAACTGTTTATCTAAACTACAGAGAGATCGAAACAACCACAGGCCAAGTGCGTTAATGCAAATATGAGCTTCGTGGGTAGTGGCGGAATAATTAGTCAAACTCGTTTGACTTTAAGGAATCTGAAACTGTGTGAATGGAGTTGGAAAAGGATCAAAGTGTCACCAGGTTGACGCACATTTGTGTTTATATTTTTTTTTTACATAATGGTCGTACGTCATCTATTTTCCTGCTACTCATGATAATTATGATAAAGGGGGTAAAGGTGGTCATGTTTTTTGTCTTATGTTTCTCTAAAGCAATAAGGAAGTGCTCACTGTGACCCGCAGCTGGGGCAACATGACATTCCTTTCCCATGATCCAGAGGCATCAGTCGTACTGACGAACAGACTGACTGAGCGATGGATGAACTGAAACAACAACAGAAGATATGTTCTGTCATTGTTTAATGCGTTCACTGGTTTATTCTACTGAATCCACATCAGCTTCTGCCAAAATTAAACACAAACAGATTAAAAGATGGTCATAAACAATCCAACACTGATCAACAACCCCTGCTCTCACAGACTGAATTGTTAAAATAAAGAGGATAATAATCAGTTCAATCAATCAATCAATCAAAAATTTGTCATTACAGATCAGATAAATAAACAATTTCCTTTGTTTTCGGAGGAATTCAGGATGAGGTGGCTGCTACCGTGCAAAGATTTAGGGATAAATACTGAATCTTTTCCTGGGAAATGACTCCTCTTCCGAAATGTGAGACAATGGTGTTGTTTTGACATTAACCAATGACACAGACTCATTTACTGGTACAGGGGACAGTTCAGTATCCTGTGTGGTGATTTGTGTGGGTGTACAGAGAAGGTGTATATTCTGAGAAGGGATCTGGCAAAGGAACATAATGTGATATGAGATGAGACAGAACGACAGGGAATTCTGCAGAAGTTTTCTGTCCTCTGAAGTGAGACCACTTTACATCTTAACTTGGACAATTAAGGTAAGTGCAGGTCAAGGATCAAATGTTAACTTAGAAAGACAATGAGATCCATGAGCTATTGGTGATGAGGCTCAACACGGGGGTTCATGTCCTGCCTCCTTCAGGCTCCATCACCTCATGCCTGAATGTTCCCCACATGTTCCTATTCTTCCTCCGGACCTGGACACTGTCCTGCTGCGTTCTTCGTATGTGAAACACAAACTGAAAAAAGTCCAGAGCAAATTTCCACTTTCCATTTTTCACTTCATGCCTGAAAACAACTTACTAAACAGTTCATTTTGTATTGAGCAATAGTTTTACTCTTTGTTCTGTTGTGGCGTCATTGAACAAGTTCAGTTATGTTAGTCTGGTACTGTATGTTTTAAAGTTTTCCCATTTAAACTCATTTAAAGATAGTTGTGCTCTGAGATTTAAATGAAGTGAATGTAGCAGAGGAAGCACCGGTGTTAACAAAGTCTCCACACCCTGATCTTAACAAGTAACCCTGTTCTGTTTCTCCCTTGAGGGTATTTAGGGTGTGACAAGTTTCTTTGAACAGAGAAATGTTTGTAGACTTACAAGGAAATACAATGAAATCTTTACACTCTTTACTTCTCCTAATTACAATGTTTTTACTCATGAGACAAGTTTATCTCAAGCGTGAAAAGATTCAACTGGACTCATATAACTGTCCAGGAATGACTGAAACATCAAAATAA